GCTGTTGTGCACAAAATCTTTGGCTAAAGCAACAATTAAGCGACTACGGAATTGATTTTGGATGCATTCCTCTCCGGTGTGACAACACAAGTGCGACCAACATTACAAAGAATCTGGTCATGCACTCAAGAACCAAACACATCGACATTCGACATCATTTTCTCCGTGATCACATGCTTAAAGGAGATGTTGAAGTCACTTTTATAGATACACATAATCAACTTGCAGATATCTTCACAAAACCACTCGCGAAAGAACCGTTTTTCAAGATTCGGCGAGAACTCGAAATTCTCGATGAAGGTGATATCTAATATTTCAAAAGTTGATCATTATAGCATCTATGAGTATCAAGGTACACAAATATGAACTTATCTCTTTTTGGAAACTTTTGATGCTATATTAAATTTACCGCGTCGGCAAAATTTTTCAATCTTTCCTATTTTCGCACATCATTAAGTTATTCTTTTTCAATATTTTTTTGATCAAAAGTTGCCTCAAGATATATGCTAACATGTTCTATAATTGTTATATCAAGAACCTCTATAAATTTCTTGTGTCTCTTTTTCCTTTTCGCACTTTACTTTCAAGTCCTTAACATCATAACCGAAAAAGAATCAAGAATCAGAAAAAGATTGAAGATAATTTTTTAGAACCTAATTCACCCCCTCTTAGGCGCATTTACAAGTTACAATCTATGGTGCCTGATCGATTAACATGGAAAGATAATTAGATGACATCTATAATGCTCAAGATGATTATACTGAGAAGCTGAAATTCTTCCTTTGGATGACTTTACATAAGTCCTTTCCTACGAGACCAATGTTGTGTCATCGTGGTATGCTCCAAATGGATCTTTGTCCTAGATGCAATCAGGGTGTTGAGACAACAGTACAATGCTTGAGAGATTGTAACTTTGCTACTCACTCTTGGAAATCAATTCGCTTATTAGACCTATTATTGTTCAAAGGGGATATTTTATATGATTTGATTAGACACGACATCAATGGTGGATCTATCTTATTGGCTGCTTGTTGTTGGTTATGATGCGCTAGGAACAAATTATGTCTTGCTGATGAAGTGATATCTTCCTATACTTTGAAACTAATTAAAATGAATTATGCCAACCTGTTAGCAAAATGTTTTCTCAAGCATGATATGTCTCATCCAATGAGAATGATCACGTGGAATGCACGCAAACGTAGTAATATAATTTTAAATATTGATGGTTGGAGCCTCGTTAATCTCTACATCTCAGGTTTTGGTGGATTGATTCAAATTTTCGATGATGCTTAGGTTCACAGTTTTGCGGGTAATGTTGGTTATTCAAATATCTTTCATGCTAAGCTGATGACGCTATATCATGGTTTGCATATGGCCTGTGAAATTGACATCAAAGACTTGATGTATTATTCTAAATCCAACTCTAATATCAAACTCATCTCAGAGTCGGTTAATGTTTGACATCACTATGTTGCAATTCTCCACAATATTAAAGAGTTTCTCATTAGAGAATGACGAGCTCAAATATGTCATACTCTTAGGTAGATGAAAGCTTGTACCGACTATCTAGCAAAATATGAAGTTGGTAATAATGCGGCATACCGGTCTTTTGCTGAGCCTCCTATAAAATCATCACTCTCTTACTATCTGACGCTAATGAGATCTTATTTTCTAAATAACTTTTTGCATTTTTCTATTCCACTTGCATTATATATATATATATATATATATATATATATATATATATATATATATATATATATATATATATATATATATATATATATATATATATATATATATATATATATATATATATATATATATATATATATATATATATAAAAGAATAAACTATGTTTTGGAAATCTCCATTTTACCCTTCTGTTTCCACAAGCAACCACGTGGATATTCTTACAAACCTCCAGCTTATGTTTTGCTAAATTGCTCACAAATATGTTTTGCTACATCTCTCAATATAATATAACTTTTCAGTTTGAAATTTCAATATAACACACACACACACACACACACACACACACACACACATACACACACTCTCTCTCTCTCTCTCTCTCTCTCTCTCTCTCTCTCTCTCTCTCTCTCTCTCTCTCTCTCTCTCTCTCTCTCTCTCTCTCTCTCTCTCTCTCTCTCTCTCTTCTTCTTCTTCTTTTTCCTTTTTCTTCTTCTTGCTCCCTCTTTTTCTTCCTTCTTCCTCTTTTTTACGACACCGTCAAAGTTCTTCCAATAACAAATTTAGATCCCTACTCAGTAACACCTCGCTAACGAAATCCTAACCGAAGTCGATAAAGCTATCGATCTTGATTCTACATATGTGATTTCGTATCTTCTCAAAGCTACAAATGCCTTTGTCTTGCCATTTCATATTTGACTTTTTGTTATTGTTCTTTCAGGAAGTATTGAATCGAGTTTCAACGAGTAAGTCAATGTTTTGGTTACCTCAATCTATGTTGGTGCTGAAACCCAATCTTCTCAATCTTTTGTTGTAGGATTTTATGGGAAAAATATCTAGATCTAATATCTATTGTTAGGGTTTTTATTGGTTTCGTTATTGTTGTAGGATTTTGTGGGTTTAGTTTATGCTTTTTGACTTTATGGATTCAGTGTTTAAATTTTATGAATTTTGATGGTTCTTCTAACATTTGATTTATTGCTGTTATTTTGATATTTGGTATTATTCTTTCAGGATGATAGTGAGGGCAAATATGATAATCTGATGACGTGGATTTTTATCTTGACTCGTGTGAACTTAAGTTGTATGGCTCTGGTGAATCAAAGAACAATAGTAGAAATGTTAAGGGTGATAAAGCCAAGGAAAAGAGAAAATTGTATGTAGGATCTCAATCATTGGGCTATCGTAGAGATTTTATGTAGGTAACCCTTTTGTAATGTCTTATTGAATCTTGATTAGTTTTTGAAATATAACTTTCAAATTTTATAATAATTATCAGATGTACTTATCTTTTTATTTCTTGATGTCGCAATATATTCACTAATGTTATTTAAGATTATTATTATTTTCCTTCCATGGCCATTGTTCTCAAAGTTTACCTTTGGTTTACAGTGGGTTAGGGATGCGTTTAAGTGTAGCAAAGACTGCTTGACCTGCTTTCAAAATGGGTGATAAGGTACTATACTTTTCTCTCCATTTCTTGAGTTTGGTGTCATTTATTGTATATGTATTTTCTAGCATTTGATACTCTCTTTTTCTCTCCCTTATTAGCACCTGTTTTTTGTTTATTCTGTTGTGTTTGGTATCACATGGCCAGTTGCTGATTATGTTAACTGTTATGCTTCTTTGATTCGAAAATATGTTAACTGCATAAACTATAACTTACCAATGGATAGCACCAGAGGTATGTCGTCTTTCTTGGAGAGAAATTTTATTGATTCATTGATAACTATCTGAAAATGTGAATCAGAAGGTCCAATCAATATGATCACAAAGCAGAGATACCAATAAAGGGATTTAATTGTTTATTGCAGGTTATTCTAAGAAAATTACATCAGGTACTCACCCCATCAACCAATGTGGATGGTAATATTGGCTCTGACACAAATCATCTTCTTGCAATAAAAGAGGTTCTCACTTATCATTGTTGTATAGTTGTTTGTTTTTGTGTGCTATTACAAGTATTTGTATTGTATAGTGATGCTAAATTTTCATACTTTGAATTGTAAGCATGACAAAAAGTTGTATATTTTCTCCAAGAAAGCAATAGCTTTGATAATGGTTCAGTTACATATGAATTTGCTTTTGTTGATTATTGTGCTCATATTAGGTTATGGATTGGTTTTATCGACGATGACACACCTTGTTCTGCTTTGGGAGCTATATTGATGCAATTATGCGCAAAATACCATACTTATTATATCCTGATTTTCTACTTATTTTCTGTGATTGATATTATTATTTTTGTCAAATTGTTAGCTTATTTAAGTTGGAGCAACTTTATAGTTTATGTCCATATACATACTCATGGACTCATTTAGCAGGTGTGAGACAAGTGTATGTGCATGTTGACACAAATAACATGTCTGCACTATTCATTTAAGTTTCAAAAATTAAAAAATTATCGATCATTTTTAAAAGTATGTGAACAAATACGCGTAACATACTAGTACCCATGCGAATACACGATTATCCAAACAAGAATTCATGAGAACACACGAGTTATTTTATTATTTATATAATTAAAGAAAATAAAAATAAAAATATTTAAAATAATGTATGAATCCAAACACCGACAAAATGTATTTATTTATGTTATTAGTATTTGTATAAATACTATATTATTTTTTAATATTTATAAAACTAAATCATTGCATCAATATTTTTTATAAAAAATATCAAAACAAAATTAATATTCACACACCAGAAAATATACAGCTGATCCAAATATTTGTATATATAAAAAATTATATTTATACTCTAAACTTAAATAAAACACATATTTTCTTAAAAATAATTTTTTTTTGGTAAAACAATTTTGTCTTTTTTATTTATTTAAAAAAAAACACTTCACCAACAGGTGTCCACACATATTTATTCTATTTTTTTAATATAAATTATAATTTTTATTAATTTTATTTTTTTCAAATTTTAAATATAAATAAATACGTCTATATATATATATATATATATATATATATATATATATATATATATATATATATATATATATATATATATATATATATATATATATATATATATATATATATATATATATATATATATATATATATATATATATATATATATATATATATATATATATATATATATATAAATTAGTAATGCTAACTTTTACAAAGAATTAATTTTTTTATTATTTTTTTTAATACAAACACAAGTTAGTTTTACTCTATAACAAAATAATTAAAAAAGATATCTCTCGTGTCATATGCAAAACCCATTTCAGAGCTTAAACCCTAAACCGCCTCTTTCTCACTGCAACTCAAGCAGCAGCAGAACAATGGCCACGGAAGAAAATGGCGACGCCGAAAGTAGCACCAGAAGAATCTCAGTTCGTTTCGTAACTAGGTTATCCGACCCTTACAAAGTTCCTAACTCCGCCATAGCCATCCCTTCCGATCTCACCAGATTCGGCCTCTCCTCTCTCGTCAACGCTCTTCTCCAATCTATCCGTACACTTTGAACCTAACATTTCTCAATTCCACACAGTTTTCATCGTGTTATTGTTCTTTTTAAGAATTTTGAAATTAAATAATTGATGATGTTATATTGATTTTGTGTTTGTAGATGATGATTACGAATCGGAACCGTTTGATTTTTTGATTGATGGCGAGTTTGTTCGTATGTCGCTTGAGGAGTTTCTCCTTGCTAAGGGAATCTCTGCGGTAACCAATAATCATAAATTGTTACACTCTAATAATTCTCACTATAATTTCATTTTCAGTTGATTATGAATATTGTTAGAAAATTGTTGAAATTTTAAATTAGAAAATTGTTGAAATTTTAAATTAGAAAATTATTTCCTCTGATGTTGTAATGTTATCTCATAGCTAATCACTGTGAATGATCAATTATAGGAAAAAATATTGGAAATTGAGTACACTAGGGTTGTAGCCCCACGAAAAGAAGAAGACCCTTCTTTACATGATGATTGGGTTAGCGCTGTTGATGGTTCTTCTTCCCGGTAAGTTTGTAATTATGTAAATTTTTCATATAATTTTGTCTTACGACTAATGATCCAAGTTTTAGTTATTTATTACTCTTACTTTTACTACTGCCGGCAGCTATATTTTTTGGTAACAAAAACTCCAATACATATCCGGTTTCTGTGAATGATTTTAATGAGCTAGAAAGGTTAAATTTAAGTGTGCTCACTTTTTATTGGGTTCCCTTAATTTTATTTTTATCCTATTTGGTGATGGCGGCAAGAGTGATTGAAGAATTTTTTATCACATAGGGTTTGAGTATATCATCATGATTTGTTTTTAACGGTATTGACTATGGGGCTTATTTGTAATGTGGTGCATGTCTGTTGTCAGAAGATAAATCCTAAATGTCTAACCACGCTCTTAAAATGCACAGTACCAAATTTTATTAATGCATTGAGTGCTACTCTTTTAAATAAAAACTTTCTATTTCTCATTTCATTAATCAGTTTTCCAAGGGACCTTGTTCTTAAGTTAGTCCATTTAAATTTTTTGCTATTGGGTTAACAGGTGTTTTGTAATCTTGTTGGTTCAATTCTTGACACTGTTATCCCAACTCTAAAAGATAAGGATTGTAGTTGTGTTAGTATGTTAATTAACTTAATATTTGACGTGAATGTTTCCTTCACTGAGAATTTAAAGTTATCTGTTCATTATCTTTTGCAGGTTTATTTTGACAGGATGTTATGATGGTTTTGGAAGGTAATAGTCTTTTTTACACTGTTTGATTTTTCTTAAATTGTTTATGTATTGTATGATTACTTGATATTGTAATTTGATTATTGTTTTTTGACAATTGTTTATTGATCCTTTTATTATACCATGACATGGGAAAACATAATTTAGGGTATGGAAGGGTCCTGGAGTATGTACACATATATTGGAGGGACATAGCGATGGTGTCACTTCTGTTAGTGTTCTTAATCCGGAAGGTATGAAGACAGATTTCCTCCCCCATGCTTCAAAGGCTGTTTAATTTTCTGATTGCCAGTTGTCAAAATTTAGTAAATTGCATATTGCATTTGCCCCCAAAATGCTATAGCGGCATTAGCGCGTTCATAACGAATAATCAAAGTTTATTGTTACTAATATACAAAATCTATGTAACAAAAATAAGTTTAGACTTTAGAGTTGTGGATGATGCCTTGCTTTACTTTAAGTTGTTGCTAGGGGCTGGGGCTCGGTTTATGCAATATTGAGTGTATTTAGACAAAAAACAGGGAGAATTGCTCAGAGAGGAGGCAACTGCATAGATAGGGCAATCAGAATTCAGAATGTCACTTAGAGATGAGACACCATTCATGGTTTATGGGGAAAGAACAAAAGGGTTTCGATGGAGAAGGAATTAGAATTTTACGGCAAAATGACTAAAAACATTGTAAAAAATACAAGCAATGTTTCAGGTTATTAATCTATGGGCTCCTACGCCACGATAGCGGCTGCTATTAACCCAAGAGGTTTAATTTCCTTGAAATCCAATGGCTGTGCTTTTATGTATAACGGAGGATATCAATACATATTCTCTGATTTTAGGCAGGAATGCTTGTTGCAGAATGCTAATATCTTTACATACTGCTCTGTCATTCATGTTATTACATGGCAAAAGACAAACACTCAATTTTGTACTTGAATTGTTCCAAGTTATTAAAATTTGTACTATAATCAGGTGTGGAAACTGTAACTCTAGCTACTGCTTCTAAAGACCGAACATTAAGGCTATGGAAGGTAAGTAAAAAAAGCTTTTGAGCTGAATTCCTTATGTTGAGCATATGCTTACCATGTTATATTTTCCTTTTTATAAAAGATCAATACCGATGAGGCTACCAACAATCCTGTGAGGGTTAGGGCTTACAAAATCTTGCGTGGTCACAAGTCTTCTGTTCAGAGTGTTGCAGCGCAGACTAATGGAGAAATGGTTTCTTTTTGCTTTTCTATTCTGAGTTTCTCCACACTTGGGTTTATGTAGTGTAATTTGTAACACAGTTCTTCCTCTGCCGTCTCATATGATTAGGTTTGTTCTGGTTCTTGGGATTGCACTATCAACCTATGGCGAATCAATGACAATAATGCAGAAAATGACCTAGTGTCCAAGAAGAGAAAAGTTGAAGGCCGGGTGGAGGACTCTCAATTAGAGGTTTGTACAGGCTCCTCGCACATCATTGTTTTTCTTCACGTAAATTTCTCTCAAATAGGAGTATTATGCATTCCGAAATCCGTTCTAATCTCTAAGAAATCATTAAAGCTGGCATTTGTTTTGACTCTACTTTCTCCACGTGTTGAGTTTGCTGTGCTTTATTTCCCCTTGTTCTTTCATGTAGCATCTTTATGCATAAGAAGAAAAAGATTTGAGATATAATTATAAAAATTTATGTCAATATGTTTGTACTGCTGGAAAAGCTCTGAAACTGCTTGAAAAGGATAATGATGATCTATTTTGAGACATGTTCAAAATTTTCTTAATATTATTGTTAATGTAAACCTTATAGATTTTGTGACTACTGTTCTCTTAATTTATTATTTATAGTATTTCCTTGTTCTTTCCCTTTTTGGGATGTATCAGTCTTTTTTGTTGATAATCAAGTTTTCATTAATAATACACTGTTTTATTATAGGGAGAAGCTTTTACAACCCTAGTTGGCCATACACAGTGTGTGTCTTCTGTAATTTGGCCACAAAGAGAGTCAATTTATTCGGCATCTTGGGATCATTCTATTAGGAAATGGGATGTTGAGACAGGCAAAAACTTGTCAGATATAGTAAGTTGTTAAACTTCTGCTCCTTTTCTCTCCATTGCTGAAATTATACGCGATTGAAGTTTAAATTTTGCCTTCAAACTAAGTTATATGACACCTTAATTTATATGAGGAAGTATAACCCTATACATGGGCATAAATATGATTCATTAACATTTAATAGAGGCACTATTTTCTGGTAATCTGTATTTGTTTTTTCACTTTTTGGTTGGAACTATTTGATCATACAAAAGAATTGTTGAATATAATTTTTGATACGGCTATTAAAAAGTAGAAAAGCACGGAAGTATTAAAAATTAGAGTTTTGCTAATTTTAAAACTTTGTCCTCCGTGTATAGTATTGTGGTAAGGCTCTTAACTGCCTTGACATTGGAGGGGAAGGTTCTGCACTCATCGCTGCTGGTGGTTCTGACCCTATCATTAGGATTTGGGATCCTCGTAAGCCAGGTCAGTAAATTGAAGTAATAATTGTCCCTCTCACCTCCACAAACAATCATGTGCATTCCATTAGCTTATAAAGTAGTTTATATTTTCTGCAGGCACTTCTGCTCCTATTCTTCAGTTTGCTTCTCACAAATCTTGGGTAACAGCTTGCAAATGGCATGATAAGTCCCCGTTTCATTTACTTTCTGCATCTTATGATGGGAAAGTTATGTTATGGGATCTGAGAACTGCGGTAATATAACCTTTTTTATTTAACTAAGTAATTTTACACCATCTTTGGCTTTTTAATCACTAACTTTGTTTATTAATGTTGCAGTGGTCTCTTTCAACTATTGAATCACACAGCGACAAGGTATATCACTTTTCTTTCCGTGTTTTAGAAGAGCAGTAAACAAACAATCTTGTTAAATATAGACTATAACAGTGCTATGGCAGTGTGGAATTGAACAAATTGTTGTTATACTGTGATACGCTATTTTGTACAAAATGTTGTCAACGAATGGCTTTAGTGGCCAATATAGCACAGTTCCATAGTGAAATTTGAACAAACCAGTATTTTCCACTTTCCACAACCCGCAACTGACGACACTTTAAGTAGAACACTACTTTGCATCATCAAAGGGCTATATAATGGCTGCTAATTGACTTTTAATTTGCTTAACTCAGGTACTTTGTGCTGACTGGTGGAAAAGTGACACTGTTGTCAGTGGCGGAGCAGATTCAAAACTTTGCATTTCATCAGAAATTCCTGTCCAGTGACATAAACTTTGATGTCTCATATACATGGAATAGTTTAAGTTTGAAGCCGATTTTGTCCGAGGCACAGCTACTCCTAGCGTTTTAATTTTATGTAACACACTTTAGATTGAAGATTGAAGTCATGTCTTAGGTGTCTGATATGTGATCAATTGTAAACTACAGTCTTACTTTGTATTTCTTATTGCTAAATATGTAAACCATTACAATTATGCATATCTTTGAACTTATTTTAATTATGTAAACCATTACAATTATGCATATCTTTGAACTTATTTTAGTTAGTTAAACCATTACAATTATGCATATCTTTGAACTTATTTTAGTTAGTTAAACCATTACAATTATGCATATCTTTGAACTTATTTTAGTTAGTTAAACCATCACTAGGCAGCCATCAAAGTGTTACTCTTATTCTTTCAGCCTCTCAATAAACCTGTTGAAATTTTCTCAAGATCCATCTCCATGGGCTAAGTTCCTCGTTACTTTCTCATTAATCTCCATAGACCTTAATCTTATATTCTCATCACCAAGCAATTGATCAACTTTCTTTTTAATCTTCTCACTTAACACTAATACATTTTCATCTTTCTCAAACCCAAACCCAACTTTCAATTCTTCACAAATATAACTCTTGTCATAAAATTGATTAGAAAAATATGGCCAATACAAAAAGGTACCCCATTAGACAAACCTTATATTGGTATATTTGGAATGATGATAACTTAGAGTGGAGATTTGGAAGAAGTTAATAATATTAAGTTGGTAATAAATGAGCATAAGTATCACCTAGAGTGTGTTAAAGAATTTGAAATGGTTTATTAAAGTTCCACATAGGAGGGAGAACACGCTGTAACACTGTCTATAAGTGGACAAATTTGGTCGAGAACACACTACCATGAAATATAACGTGCGATGTCCGGTGGACAAATTTGGTCGAAAACACACTACCATGAAACATAACGTGCGATGTCCGGTTGCTTCGGTCTTGGGCTTAGGGGTTGACGTCTGGTTGCTTCGGTCTTGGGCTTAGGGTTGATCTAATATTTTGTTGTTGCCCGAAATGATGAAAATTTATTAATATTATTACTCGATCTTAATTAATTTATTAATCGTGTGTAATTAAATTTTGAATTAATTAATTAACATTAACTGTTAATCACGTTTTTTTTCTTGCCGACCAAGTCTTCCCACTTTCTTGTTGATCAAGTGAATAACAACTACTTTTAACTGAGTCAATTCCACTCTCCCACGATTTCCTCCACTTTTTTCTTCCACGATTTCTCTCCATTCGGGTCAGATCCTTGGCTATAAATAAGGTCCTTCTCATCACTTGCAACTCACTTCAGAATTATGCATTACGAATTCTCTTTTCTCTTCCACGTTCACTTTATCTATATTTTTTTTCTTTTCTGTTTTTTCGAGTGGCTTGTTTGCTTGCGCCATCTGCAACTGGTTTATCCAAATATTATGTGTGGTTTTCACACCATAATCGAGTGGTTTCAACAAAAAGTGTATTTCTGGAATGATCACATATCGTGCAAGTAGTGATCGTAAAATTGAACTGGGCTATTTTATTCTACAGACGATGTGATAGTTCGACTGTTTTACATATTTTTGGACAGTGCCGTAAAATGTCTTAAAGAGAGCGAACCGTTCCGCGACTCATCCCAATAACTTCTTCTGTGACTTATTTTCTAAACCGTGAAACAATAAATTTTTGACGTTTTCAAAAACTGCCATGCCTACCGAAGAAGTTATTGGCAACACTGATGCTGTTGTCTCTGACAAACTGTTCAAGTTTGAGGGTCTTCACTTCAAACGTTGTAAGCTAAACTGACAAACTGTTCAAGTTTGAGGGTCTTCACTTCAAACGTTGTAAGCTAAAATGAAATCTTTTTCTAACCTTAAAGAAGGTTGCCAACGTTCTGACCGAGGATATTTTCGTTTCTCCTTCTGGATCAACCGAATAAACTAATGGTAAAAACTCTATAGATTCACATGGAAATGCTAAAACTGATGAATCTACTGCGAGTAATTTACAACTCAGGAAAGAAATTGCCTTATGACATGAGAATGACTATCTTTGCAAAAATCACATTCTGAATAGTTTTGTTGATGATCTATAAGATTATTACAATAATTGCAAAACTACTAAACATGTATGGGAAGTTCTGCAAAGGCAGTATGTCACTGTGGAAGTTGGAACAAAGAAGTATGATATGAGCCGCTACTTAAAGTATCAGATGGTTAATGAAAGGTCTGTGGAAGCACAATGCCACAAACTTCAAAAAATTGCTCATGAAATAATTACATAAGGTATCCCCCTCGACGAACAATTTCAAATTGATGTTATCATTGACAAATTGCCTCCTGGTTGAAAATTTTTCAAAAACTTGCTTCGACACAAAACAAAAGAGTTTTCAATTGAGAGTCTGATCACTCGCCTCCAAATTGAAGAGGAAGCTAAAAGACAAGATCAGAAAGATGAAGTCTTAGTTGTTTCTAAAAATAAAAAGAGATTCAGTGCGGTTCTAAGTCCTATAAGCAAACCATTAAAGAATTAGAATCGCAATGCTGTGAACCGAATTAAGAATGAGAATTCTCAAGGGTCCCATATGCTCTTATTGCTAAACAACAACCACCACCCCAAAGAAATTACACTCCTACTTTCACTTGGTTTAATTGTGGAAAACCAGGTCATTTGGCTAAGAAATGTAAGAGCAGACTTAAACCTGTTGACTTTAATGCACAGGTTAACCTGACTGATGAGCAATTTATTGCAATGATCACTAGAATCGACATGGTTAGTGGAAGTGATGTTTGGTGGATAGACATTGGCGCCTCTTGTCATGTCTGTTATGATCGTGTTATGTTCAAGACATATACGAATGTTAAAGATAAGAAAGTATTGTTGGGAGATGCTTACACCACTAATGTTGTTGGAATTGGAGACGTTGAGATGAACTTCACCTCAGGAAAGACTTTAATCTTGAAAGACATCATACATATTCCTGAAATTAGGAAGAATCTTGTTTTTGTTTTTGTTTTAAATAAGACAATGTTTAGTCAATCTATTAGGGCAGATTTGTACATCATAACTAAGAATGATATTTTTGTTGGAAAATGGTACACCACTGATGACATGTTTAAGTTGAATGTTGATTTAAATAAAATGTCTTCTTCTGTTTACTCTTTATATGGTTTTAATATTTAGCATGCTAGACACTGTCACGCTATTAAACAAATTATTTCTAATCTAAGTAACTTAGGCCTAATCCCGAAATTGAATGCAAATAATTTAGAAAAATATGAATATTGTAGTCAAGATAAAATAACTAAGACTTCACATAAATTTGTAATTAAAGATTCTGATCCCCCCTAGATCTTATACACTAAAATATATGTGAATTAGATGGAACTTTAGCTAAAAATAATAAATGTTATTTTATCACTTTTATTGACTATTGTTCTGATTATACTTATGTGTACTTAATGAAGAATAAAAGTGAAGCGCTTGACATGTTTAAGATGTATGTGAATGAGATTGAAAATCAATTTAGTAAGAAGATTAAGATACTTCATAGTGATAGAGGAATTAAGTATGATTCTGGGTTATTTAATTAATTCTATAAACAACATGGAATTGTACATGAAACGAATGCACCATACTCTCTTGAAATGAATGGTAAAGCAGAAAGAAAGAATAAAACTCTTACTGAACTTGTCGTTGCAATTATGTTAAATTATGGTGTTGTTCCTCTTTGGTGGGGGGAAATTTTGTTGACTGTTTGCGATGTCATGAATAGAGTTCCCAAGTAAAAAAGTAAGATCTCTCCTTATGAGATATTAAAGAAAAGACAACCAAACTTGTCTTGTTTAAGAACTTAGGGTTGTCTGCCTTATGTCAGAACTCCGGATCTGTAGCGAGCCAAACTCGCTAGTAGAGCCTATGAATGTGTATTCATTGGATATACAACAAACAGTAAAACATATAGGTGTTATGACCTAAATGCTAAAGTAATCATAGAATTGAATGGTGTTGAATTCTATGAAGATAAATTTCCTTTCAAATTGAGAAATAGTGGGAGCTCTAAATCAAATCACATTCCCGTGATAAGAAACACTAAAAGCAACAACGGAGTAGAAACAAAACTTTGACGAAGTAAACGAGTAAGAGTTACTAAAGACTATGTGCCCAATTATGCGGCCTATACAGCAGAGGAAGATCCATAAAATCTTCAAGAAGCCTTGTCATCTATGAATGCATATTTATGACAAGAAGCTATTAATGATGAGATAAATTCTATAGAATCTAACAGGACCTGACACTTAGTAGACTTGACTCCTGGTTGTAAGCCAATCAGTTGTAAATGAGTTTTGAAAAAGAAACTAAAACCTGATGGAAATGTTGATAAGTATAAGGCTCGCCTTGTAGCCAAAGGTTTCAGGCCAAGAGAAAATATAGATTTCTTCGACACCTTTTCTCCAATCACTAGAATTACATTCATTAGGGTACTAATTTCAATTGCTACTATTTATAACTTAGTAGTACACCAAATGGATGTAAAGACAACTTTTTTAAATGGTGACTTAGAAGAAGAAATCTATATTGACCAACCACAAGGGTTTGTGATTCATGGACAAGAAAACAAAGTTTGTAAGTTAGACAAGTCTCTGTATGGTCTAAAACAAGCTCCAAAGTAATGACGTGAAAAGTTTGATATCTTAATGATTTCAAATGGGTACAAAGTGAATGAAAGTGACAAATGTGTTCATTACAAACCTGCGAATCACATATGTACTATCATATGTTTCTATGTAGATAATCTACTCATATTTGGATTAAACATTCAAACCGTTAATGAAGTGAAATCACTATGTGGAAAAGATATTAAAGAAATATAATTACTTTGACTGTAAACCTGCAAGCACACTATAAGATCCAAGTATGAAACTGTTTAATAACATTGGTGAAAGTGTTAGATAAACAGTGCACGCGAGCATCATTTGTAGTCTTAGGTATACCACTGATTGTATTAGACCGACATTACATATGTCGTAAGATTATTGTGTAGGTTTACTAGTAGATCGAGTAACGAGCATTTGCAAGCTATTGAGTTAGTCATGCGGTATCTTAAAAAAACCATAAACCTCAGTTTGCATTATCAGAGATTTCCTGCTATACTTGAAGGACACAGTGACGCAGATTGGAATACCTTATCAGATGATTCTAAATAAACTAGTGACTATATATTCAATATAGCTGGAGGAGTTGTATCTTAGAAATCAAAGAAACAAACTATCCATGCTCAATCCATGATGGAGTCTGAGATGATAGCATTAGTGAATGCTAATGAAGAAGTAAGTTGATTAAGATGTTTTCTATCTGAGATCCCTGTGTGGAAAAAACATATGTCAGTTGTGTTGATCCGCTACGATAGTACTGCGACTATTGAAAAAATTGAGAACCGTTATTATAATGATAAAATACGTCAAATTAAAAGAAAGGACAACACTATTAGAGACTGCATCTCTAAAGGAGCTGTAAGAGTGGACCATGTACGCACTGGTGAAAATTTTGGAGATCCTTTGACGAAAGGATTAGCTAAAGAGAAAGTCTATAATACATTAAATAATATGGAATTAATGCCTATAGAAAAATGAATTACTCATGTTGGAAACCCGACCTAAACGAGTGGAGATCCCAAGAAATAGGTTCAATGGGTAATAACAAGTTGTGAGCAATATGAGGTGATCATGCTAAAGTAAATAAGATAAGCATGAATCCTGAAGCAATAAGAGGATAAGTTAATAGAAACTCTTAATGAGATTTATACTATGTATGAGGGAGTACCTAGGCTGCCAAAGTACTTTTGATAGACTGACCTATGTGATTGTGAAACTTAGGCGGCTTCTTATGGAATTTCGAGGCAGAATTCCTAAAGCCTTCACTAAACTGGGATACACGTGCAAGACCATTAAAACACATGCTATTAGAATACACCTTAAGAAAATGTTGTGTACAAATTTGATGTCTGAGATAGAGTTCAAGACAATAGTGTCACTTTTATTAAATCAGAATCCTACCTGCTACATAGAGGTTCAAGTCATAGACAACTTTTTTTATGCACAATCTTAGAAACGTTTGACGTTCATTCTAAAATCACCTTTTAAATTTAAGTGGGAGATTGTTGAAATATTTGAAATGATGATAACTTGGAGTGAGGACTTAGAAGTAGTTAATGATATTAAGTTGGCAATAAATAAACATAAGTATGAGCTAGAGTGTGTTAGTGAATTTGAAAAGTTCATTAAAGTCTCACATAGGATGGAGAACACACTTTAGTAGTGTTTATATATTTCAAGTGGGCAAATTAGGTTGGGCAATTTTGTGGTTATGTGAGAGCACACTACCATGAAAAATAACGCACGCGCGCCCACCGTCGTCTGGTCGGCCGACTCAGTTCGGTTTGATTCGGTATTGAGTTTAGGCTTGGGGGTTGATCCAATTTTTGATACCCGAAATGATGAACAATTATTTATAATATTAATTAATTTATTAATCGTGTGTAATATAAATTAATTAATTATTATTAATTAATAATGGCGTGCTTGTTGGTGTAAGCCCTAGAGGCCAATACTTTTTGGTACTTGTATCGGATTATTCGTTTAATAATAAAAGGTATTTCTTTATTATGTTTGTCTTTCAGAATAATAAAGTCTCTAGAATAGTTAGTATGTTTAATGAAATGTTAAGTGTGACTTAATCATGAGATCCCATTAAACATAAAGACATTATTCTTAAAATATCCGTAGTCAAGCTTTATTGCAAAGTGGGATAACATTAAAAGCATTGAGACTATTATGAAGATAGACTGATGATCACATCTCATGGATCATGGATAAAGAGTTATCAAGTCTTGACATAGGTATAAATATTAGGAGTAATATTTATACCGGATTGACCCGCTATGAGAATACTACATAGTATGTTATGCAAAGTGTCATAAGTTATTCTCATGGTGATAATGGTGTATTACCACCCTTCGACCTGAAACCACTATGGACCCTAGATGTAGAGTCGGGTGCTTTATTGCTGATCAAACATTATCCGTAACTGGATGATCATAAAGACAGTTGATGGGCACTCCACGAAGCATGCTGAGGGACATGAGTGTCCTAGATGGAATTTGCCAATCCTGCATAACAGGAGAAATGTCTAAGGGCCCAATATTGAACTGGACAAGGATGACACAGTGTATGCCTTGTGTTCAATATAGACATAGGGGCAAAAGGGTAATTGTACAAACATATATTATCACGAAAAAGGTTTTGTCAGATCACATGACATTTTCGTAACTTGGGTAGCAGTGATGTGTTGCTAGATACCGCTTACTGTTTATTATGTTAAATATATAATTTAATATAATTACCAACGTTACGAAATCCTACAGGGTCACACACATAAGGACAGTTTGATGAGAGATAGAGAAATCAAAAAAGAACACCGTAAGGTACGGTGCACTTAAGTGAAAAATAGAAATTCGGATAATATAATAATAATTATTGTTATTTTATAATGGTTATAAAATAATAATAAAATAAATATATTTATTATAATAATAGTTATTATAATAATATATAATATTATTATGGATCATGTGAATTGGGTTTTAGCCCGCAGCCCACAAGAGAGTCTATAAAAGGAACCCTTGTGATGAAGCTTTCACTTGATGTATTTTCGTTTTTGATTCTCTTTTCTCACTCAAATAATTCCGTTCGTAAGCAGCTAGCACTGTGATCGGAAGCTGTTCGTGTGGACTGAGTAGAGGCGTTGCACTTCATCAACGCTTGTGATCGCTGCATCAAAGATCTGAATCGCCACAAAGAGGTAACGATTCTATCACTGACCATGCTCATTCGTAAGGATCACTAAAGGAAATTTTTGTTTTCCGCTGCGTTTAGATCGCAATTTTCCTTCAGTGCTGTAATTAAATAATTAAGGATAACTGTTGACCACATTTTTGCCTTGCCGACCAAGTCTCCCCACTTCCTTGCTGACCAAGTGAATAACAACTACTTTTGACTGAGCTGGTTTCACTCTCCCATGATTTTCTCCACTTTTTTCTCCCATGATTTCTCTCCATTCGGGGTCAGATCCTTGGTTATAAATAAGATCCTTCCCATTACTTGCAACTCATTCCAGAATTCTACATTCCAAATTCTCTCTTATCTCCCACAATAATCGAGTGATTTTCACATCTGCAACTGATTTATTCCAATATTACGAGTGATTTTCATACCATAATCGAGTGGTTTCAACATCATAAGAAGGTATATTTCTGCAACGTTCACATACCGTATAAGTAGTGATCGTAAAATTGAATTGAACTATTTTATCATGGAGACGACATAGTTTCGACTGTTTTGCTTATTTTTGTGCAGAACCGCGAAACGTCTTTAAGTAAACCGTTCCACGACTTATTTCAATAGCTTTTTCTGTGAATGATTTTCTAAACCGTGAAGCAATACCTTCCAAAGTAGAATTTTAACCACAATGACTAATTTTCTAAACCGTGAAGCAATACCTTCCAAAGTAGAATTTTAACCACAATGACTAATGAAACAAACATTTGAAGGGTGTTTTAGTATGTGGAGCCCATTTAACAATTTTCCCTTTATACCCTTTGAATTCACTAGGAAATTTCATCATCTTATTGGAGTCTTGATCTTGATCTCTTATAACCCAAAGGAAAGGCCTATTAGTTAAATCAAGTCCTAATGCTAATTCTTTGAACTGGTTTTTGTCAAAAAGAGTGAAACTGAAACTACCAAATGCAACATAAACAACAGAATTATTTTCTTGTTGATCAAGCCAACTCATGCAAGATAAATCTTCTTCCCAAAATTGACCAATTGACTCTTTCCACTTTTGTTTTCATAGTTATTCAATAAAGGGCCAATTGGTAGAAACTTTGGAAGAAAAGATAATGGTCTAGGTTCAAGTTCATATGCTGTATTACAAAGCCACCAATTTGATAAACTTGTAGTTTGTGAACAATGCTTAATATGATTAAATACTTTCTTAAGGCTTATTGAGTCTGCACCTACATTTGACCAAACTAAAGCTTCTGTGTCCATCATTGGCATATTTGGTGATGGGTGAAATGTTTTTCCAGTGGCTGATAATCCTACATTAATTGAAAATCAAAATTAAATTAGCAACTACGTGAAAGATAAATACAATAACACATCGTGTAAAATTGTAGAGATCAGTATTCCGCATACAACTACAGAGACTAATCTTTCAAGTTTTAAAGTCCTCAAATAGAAAGTTTTACAGAGACTAATCTTTCAAGTTTTGAAGTCCTCAAATAAAAAGTTTTGAGGTCCTCAGATAATCTTACCATTAGAATCAATTATAGTATGTTCAATAAGCTTAGGAATATTGTAATCCAAGGCAAACATAGCTGCTGCTGAAGACCAAAAGAGATCTCCATTGATTCCAAATTTGCTTCCAACATTTAATCTCCATCCCATATCCACATCTGTAACTATACAACTAATTCTACAATCATCATTCAAACAAATATTTTTTATCAAATTCTCAAAAATGTTAGGCATGGTGTTTAACATAGCTTCATAGCTTAGCGAAATCGGTTCTATCTTCTTCATGACTTAAACCATCAGGAATTGAAACCAACTTTAGAGCTCCATTAAAGCTATCATCTAATTGTTGTTGCTTTTTCATTGTACTCATCAATAGTTTATGGTTGAAATCTGTGTTCACAAAAATGACTCTACATCCATTTTCTACTAACTTTTTTGATAAGTTCATAAAAGGGTTTAGATGGCCTTGAGCTGGAAATGGCAAAACTAAAACTGTTGCAATTGCAATGCCCTGCCGCCGATGTGGATTCTGCTGGCTTCTCCATACTTCCTCCTCCTATATCCTTCTCTCAGCTCATGCACAACTGCAAGGGTATCGACTCTACTCCTAAACTTCAACAGCTTAGGGATTTCAGCTTCGAACAGCTCCGATTTTGTAAAGTAAAAAATGTCATTGTATCACGAACTAAGATCAAACTTCTCCAACCCTCGCAACAACAAAAAAGTCTCTCCACCGTCGATGACGTTGGTGCAGTTGGACTCTGAAAGCATTACACATACCTGATGACTTCGCCTACCAACTTCCCTGCCTTTGTAACGTTGATGACTTCGCCTACCGACTTCCCTTCCTTTGTAACGCCGACTCTTACATCCATCCAAGTGTACCTGTCAATTAAAGAAACAGAAAAAAGGGCTGCCCAAATGCAAACACTAGAGACCATACTAGCCATCCAGGGTTCCCTTTCATAAATGTCATGTAAGAACAAATATAGTCGTAACATTTAAATGTTTAAAAGATATCATATACTACTAATAATATAACACTATAACCGAATCCCATTAAAAAATTCAGAAAACTGATTCCATTCTATAATTTTATTGAACAAAAATCGACGCGAAAGAGGTGACTCTGGCGGGGAAATCAAACATCTACATTCTTCTGCAGAACCATCACCAAGCCCTCTATACTAATCAAGAAAATTACATGGAAAATTGGGGGTAGAACTATATTAAAATTTACAAGGGGACGATTAAGTACAAATTGGGGAACTCTACCTAATACACGTCCATAAAAAAGGACCCAATTCTAATAAATCACAAATTACAAAGTTACACATTAAAGTGGAAGAAAATATTGCTATCAATTACAATGATTTCAAAAGAGCACAGCCACACACAAGGGGCTAGCATGACCCAAGAACACTTGGATGAGATGGTGAGGAGTCTCTTCCAGTTTAACCAAAGGTCCTGGGTTCAAACTCAACCCTAAATTTGAACCCAGCCCTAGACATGCAGCAATGTTTAATTGTCTTGAGAGAAAGCTTTGCCACCCATTATGGTTTTTTCTGGCTCGAGGGATTAGTCTTTGTAGTTGCGTGCAGAGGATATCCGATTTCTACCAAAAGAAGGGGCTAGGGGCTAGCATGGTGGAGGTTGAAGTTGCTTTAGCCTTTTCACAACCTGTTTCATTGTAGGTCTAGTTGATAATGAATCAACAGTACAAACAACAGCTAGGTGTAGAACCTCTACCAAATCTTTTTCTGGGCCTGCATCCCATAATCCAGGAGTGAAAAATTCCTTTGCCCTTCCTTCCCTCAGTAGCATGCATCCCCATGCCACTATATTGAAACCATTACCATAAGAAGAAAATGAAGGGTCCAATGCTTTCTTATCTGATAGCAGCTCGAGAAGCACCACACCGTAGCTATACACATCAGCCTTATCTGAAACACGACATGTCATGGCGTATTCAGGAGCAACGTACCCGAATGTTCCTGCCACTCCGGTTGTAGCATGTGTCTCCGAAGTTCCAAGAAGTCTGGCCAGTCCGAAGTCGGATAGATAAGCATTGAAATCATCATCCAACAAGATATTGCTAGGCTTGACATCGCGATGAAGAACACGTGGTACACATTGATCGTGCAGATAGGAAAGTGCGCGCGCTATGTCCAATGCAATCTTGTGAAGAATTTTCCAATCTACAGCCCTTGTGGATCTCTCCTGGATGAACTTTTCAAGATTACCACCTGGAAGATAATTGTATATGAGAAACATCTCTGTCTCACAAGCATGGTAACCGATCAAAGTGACAAGATTTGGATGATGAAGCCTTCCAAGGGTCTTAATCTCTGCATGAAACTGTTGAACACCTTGGAAACGTCCAACTGAAAGACGTTTCACTGCCACCAAGATTCCTTGTGATATCTCTGCCTTATAAGTTGCACCAAATCCTCCACTCCCAATACAGTTGCTTGCATTGAAATTTCCTGTGGCTTGGACAACATTTTCAAATGTCAACGGGACACCGATATCAGTAAACACCGTAACTTCTCTTTTGGCAGAACCACCAACCCTGGAATTCGGCTTCCACCTTCGTGTGAAGAAGAACAGAACAATGAGAGCTATAAGAACAGAAACAATGGCTGAAGCAGAAGTAATAGATGCTATTTCAATAGCACTGAAACCATTATCACTATTTTTTCCAGTGGATTGTGCAGTAATAGAAGAGTTGTCTTCAAACTGCCCTTGTTGATTTGCCGATGGCACAGTTAGAGAAACTCCACGGCAGGAACTTAGAAACGGATTCCCAACAGCACTGCTGCATTTGATCAAGCTACTATTTGATGGCAAGTATCCAGATAAGTTATTGAAAGACACATTTAATATAGAGAGTGTGGTAACATTTGCCAAACCAGCAGGAATGTGTCCAGAAAGGTTGTTATTATTGAGCAAAACGTCGGTCAGATTTCTCATGTTCTCAATAAACTTTGGAATCTCACCACTAAGAGAGTTAGTAGAAAGGTCCAAGACTTGTAAAGAGTACAACTTCCCCAGATTGGCAGGAATTGAGCCACTCAAATTATTACCAGCCAAAGAGAGGAATTTCAGATCCTTCATCTGTCCAAGGCTGGCGGGAATCTGACCATCTAACTGGTTTTTACTAAGGTTCAAGGAAACAAGAGAGACCGAATCCCCCACGGTAAAGGGAATTTCTCCTGAAATTCGATTTCCAGATGCATCCAAAACTTTCAGTGATTTACACATTCTACTAATATTAGAAGGAATCTCACCAGATAGTTTATTAAAACTCAGATTCAAAAGCAATGCATCTAATCCTTCACATTTCTCTAACAAATATGTAGGAAACGGTCCTGTGAACTCGTTCTGATCGACAAGAAGGGTGTAACCGCTCTTTTCCTCCATCCTGTCTCCTGCTATTGGCAATGACTGAATGCCACTGAAGTTGTTTTGCCCTAAGTTGTGAAAAACAGAAAGACCAACTCCCCCTAATGATGCGAAAAGGGTTCTCTCCCGGGCCTTCGATATGAAATATGATGCATAAGGAGATGCAGGATTGTCAGATTCGAACAGATTTCCATTCCAAGAAGGAAAGGGAGAACAAACATTATTGGAGAAATCAGGAACTGAACCAGACAACATATTCCCACTAACGTCAAACACAGTCATACATGGAACATGAAGTTCCTTCGAAAGCTCACCAGTAAGATTGTTTGAGCTCAGATCAAGAAAATGCAGCTTCTTGCATAAACCAAGCCGATTCGGGAACTCTCCAGTGAAGAAATTCTGAGCCAAACTAACCATCTCCAAGTTACCGCAAGCACCCCAATTCCTAGGAAAACTTCCCTCCAAATTCACCATCGGAGCCCACAAAATCGTAAGCTTGGGGAGCGACACAACTTCCTCAGGCACTGAACCTTCAAAATAATTCAACTCATCGTTCAAAGTAACAAACTCAACATCCCCAATCGGATCAAAAAGGTTGGATAGAACAACAACTGTTAGCTCCTTGCAATTGCCTAGCTCGCGAGGAATAGAACCACTAAGCGTATTCCTCGAAACATCCAACACTACAAGGCTCTTAAGGTTCCCAAATTCACCAGGAATTTCCTCTTCCAACAAATTTGAATACAACAAAAGTGTCTTCAACGCACCACAATTCCCCAAACTCTTCGGAATCTCTTGAACCAAAGAGTTACCAGACAAATCCAAATGCTCAAGCTTCCCACAGTTGTCACCAATCTCCTCCGGAATAACTCCACTAAATTGATTAAAAGACATATACACTCCTCTAAGCTTCCCAACAAAACCAGGAACAGAACCATTCAAACCATTTGCAGCTAAATTCAAAACTTCCAAACTATCAAGAGAAGATAAAACACTAGGTACCTCCCCAACAATCTTATTAAACCCTAAGTTCAAAACCCTCAATTTTTTCAAACCTTGAATATGAAAAGGAAGATATCCACTAATCAAATTACCTTCCAAATCAAGAACTTCAAGTTTCTCCATACTCCAAATCTCTTGAGGAATTGAACCCTCCAACCCATTGAAGGGTAAAGAAAGAACCCTAAGCTCAGTTAACTCACTGATCAAAGATGGAAACTTTCCTAACAAAGAACTCTTAATACCAACACAACTTCTCCTAATTCCAAATCCGTAAAGAGGAAACATACCAAAATCGGAGCAAGGATGTGAGCTCCGGTGACCATCACCGCCGCCGCCGTTACCGGTGATGTTGATAGCAACGACGCGGAAATCTGAATCACAGCGGATACCATACCATAAACAGTGGCCGGAGGAAGGGTTCCACGTGGAGAGTACGCCGGCGGGGTCGGAAAGTGAATTTTTGAAACGGAGAAGAGTTGATTTGTCGGAGTAGGGCGAAACGGCGTCGTATTGAGAGGTTAAGAAAAGAAGGAATAAGAAGAAGAAGTTGAATTGTGTAAAGGAAGTCCATTTGATAACAATTGAAGTAAAATAAGAAGAAAACATTTCACAGAAGAAGAAACCAGAAGCAATTGAGTTTGTTTTTCAGTCTTTAATTGAAGTGAGTGAAAAGGGGGTTTTTCTGAAAACCCTAATTGGAAATTATGAAGGAGAAAAAGAAAAGAACATAGAGAGAAAGAAGAAGACAAAGACGAGAAACACAACGCAAACTATTTTGTTTCCTAAACAAAACGCGTTTTTGTTGTTAATTTATGTTTCTTTGACTTTGTTTGGACTAAACTACTAGTAACAGCTTCTTTTTTTCCCTTATAGATAGATAGATGGATAATAGTAACACTATTTTAACATTACTATTAATGTGATGGTACAAACTACAAAAGAATTATAGCAATTTAATATTCTTTGTCCTAATTATAATTTTTATTTTTTAAATGAATTTAATTGATATACACTAATAATGGAAAGAGTTTTTACATTGTCATATAATCATAACCGTTGATTTATTTAAAAGGTTTGACTTTTATTTTAACCAGTAATATCAACGGATAATGGTGATGTATTGACAGTGTAAAACTTTTTACACTAACAGTGCATAACAATTAATCTCTTTTAAAATTTGTAATCTTTATATAAAAATTATATACGAACTTTCAAATCTAAGGGCTTTTATATGTATATTGTTTCGCGCCGATTAGGATGCCATCGACGAACAATCTAAAGAGAGTAGTGATTCACTTAAAAATGTTCATAACTCAAGAAAACCACCAGTAAAGAATCCATGGAAACATCTTTTCTGCATGCACATCTTAGACAGTAGAATACTGAAGTCATTAGAAAAACCTCTTAAGTTGAACGAGTACAAAGGGGAAGGAGATCTCGACAAACATGTATAACTCGTCAATGAGTGTTTAAACTATTTACATGTTGATGAAGCTTCCTAGTGCAAACTATTTTCACTAACTTTGATGGGATCTACTAGGTTGTAATTCAAAGCTCTGTCAGATGGGAGCGTCGAGTTAAAGACCGACCAAAGTGAGACCTTCACAACTCATTTCACAGCCCGAAAAAGGTAACACATGGAAGGAAAAAAAGTTTATGGTCTTACATCGACCATTTCACGCAAGTGGTTGTGTAAGTAGAAGTGCAAAAGTTAGGGCAAAAGGAGGCTTGTAACATGAAAGAACAATTGAGCATGGCTCAATTTTTCATCAATTTAGAGGAGAAGTTTAACACCCGGTTCCATAACCCAGGCACTTCTCACATAAATTCTGGCTGCTCATCCGGGAAAGACTCTCAGTGGCGGAAAGATGAATTTGACTATAGGACCATGGTCGATACGGTAAGTACACTCCTTTGAATGTATAACGCGAGAAGATTTACCAAGAGTGTGCCAACAAAGAGTTCCAAAAGGGAGGAGTTAGAAACCCATTTCTCATCAGAGAGTCTTCCAGAACGGATAAGACAAAATGTTGTCACTTTCACAAGGGTCACGATCATAACACCGATGTTTCCATCCAGCTGAAGGATGCCATCAAGGGATTGATAAAGAGTGGCCGCTTATCTGAATATGTCAAGGTTGTAGGAGAGAGAGAGAGAGTCCCCCTAAAAAATTATGGATATTATGACCAATAGATAAGGGACTAGTGAAGAAGATAAGGGAGCAAGCAAAGCGAAATCGAACACATTGCTGCTATCACCAAAGGAGCACCTCAGGAGAATACCCCATCCAAGGGGATAATGAAGAAGAAAAATTATAAAATGACGTTCGTTCATACAAAGGATGGAGGCACATTGACCAGGATCCCTAACAGGAAAATGCTCGGGTTCTAGGACTGCAAGAAAATTGGGGGAACCCTAAATGAAATCCTCCCTTTAGTCATAACTGCTATGATCAGGAATTTCAACAGTGGAAGCTCATGCGAAATAATTTACTCTATGTTTTCTTTTTGATAAGATGAGTCTCAAGAGGGGAAATTTATGGTCATGGGAGGATCATACTTACAAACGTTTAACGACACAACCCGCCTGTGAGGCTATGTCGAGTTGATGATATCTATAGGGGAGGGAAGGGACGTCCAAATCATGAACGTGTAGTTTCTGGAGGTCCCTTGTAAAAGTGTTTATAACAACATTCTTGGAAAACCTTTCATAGTCACCATAGATATTGACCTCATCGGTCCACCTCAAGCTAAAATTTTACAACCTTCATGGTGAACCAGTCACAATCAATGTTGATCTTGAATGAGTCAAAAGGATATATCAAGCACTCTAGTAGGACCAAGAAGATAGTAAGGCCATCGAAATCAATATAGGATACCTAACCGTCCAACTCAGGAGCATGAAAATTTGAACTCCTAGAAAAGGTTAATATGATAAGATGGAGAACATAAATGATAGGCGGAGGATAGTCAACCTAATTATGTTTTCAAATTTTCATTTGATGTTATTTTTCATATAATCAATTTCTCACAAGTGTATGATGAATTCTCAATTTCCAATGAAGAAATTGCAAATTCTGAAACATCTATTTTCTTTGTGATTGTGTAAGGTAACGACGAGTTTGAGGTACGATAGAAGGGATCAAAACCTCAACACAAAGACATAAGGATGTCATCACAGATGCCAAGTGTGTGCAACCACATTAATTAAAACCCCAAAACACGGAGAACACACACAAAGAAAGTGTCAAGACCACTAAAATGATAATAACAATCCACCCTATATGGTAGCTAACCACTCTAGAGGCTGTGGTAGGTTGGCCACACGTCAACCTCAGGCCAGATTTTCACCTAGAGGAGGGGGTACCTACCCTTGGCCGAACAGGGCTCCTAAACACGTCTAATAAAATTTGAGGGATGACATTGTAAGTTCATGGAGAGCTCTAAGAAATAAACTCAGGACTGAATACATATGCCTTAAACAGGTAAAAACAACAATATCACATCTATTTTATTTCACTCATACTTTACAATACAAAAAAAGAGTTGTTATTCCTTAAGGGAGACAATCTTTCCATATTTGAACATTTGGTCCGGTCAAATTCGCTCCCTTGAAATACACATATGAAGATGAAAATGCTCTACTTGCTGCAAGACATTTTCAAAGGGCTCCAAAACAACCATGATACTAGCAACTGATGACTCATTTAAACTTTGAGCCAATGAGGCATTCTCAAGGTGTATGGTTTCTAGGTCACCCTAGACGGTAGAGAGACAGACACCTGAGTAGATTATAATGTAAATTAGAGGCTAGAGCTTTATCCTTTCTTACTACAAGTTATGAATTAATTTCGTCAATAACAAAACAAAGTTATGAGAAAAGATTGAGTTTCTTGAACAAACACAAGAAACCCTATTAGGTCTCAAAAAGGAAAAGAGAATAAGGAAGAAGAATGAATAATTGGTTAAAACTATTTTACTATTCACTTTCTCAATAGGGTTCAAAGACTACAAGTGAATACCAACAATTAACTTCTCTCAAGAGTTTGAGAGAACTAGTCTAATTATAGACTACTAAGCTAACATAACAATTGGGCTTACAAGAAAGGCTCAATTTGACATGCTAACAATCCTAGCATTTCGACTACTGCATGCTTGAGCATACTTCGAATACAACATACAAGATCAGTATGTGAATAAACTTTGACTTCATACTAAACCTGTTGTTAAATAATGAAGATACCCTTGTCGACACTAGAGTTCGATCCAAAATACCATAAATCTCTGGCCTGGAACAAACTCTACACAAATCAAGGGAACAAACTTGCTTTCATCATGCAACTTTATCAACTGCATACAGTGGAAAAACTTGCTACTCGGCAATGTCTTAGTGACCATATCAGCAACATTGTCATCAGTCAAAATCTTTAGCACTTGGACTTTTCCATGCTCGATTATCTCTCTGATGAAGTGCAGCCTCACATCGATGTGCTTGATTTGCTCATGATAGGCTGAATTCTTTGATAGGTGTATTGCACTTTGACTATCACATTTAACAGTGATAACTCGACCTTGAAGTTTCACCTCTTTAGCAAAACCTTCAAGCCACAATGCTTCTTTTACAGCTTCAGTGAGGGTATTATATTTTGCTTCAGTGGTTGATAAGGCAACAACCTTCTAAAGTATCACTTTCCAACTGACTATTATGCCGGACATAGGAACACATATCTAGAAATAGATTTTCTGGAATCCATACAACTTGCATAATCAGAGTCCACAAATCCTTCAATGTTGACTTTTCTATCATCACCACAGGTTCCACCATAAATCAGGACTCTTCTCAGAGACCCATTGATGTACCTAAGATCCACTTTAATGCTTGCCAGTGCGCCTTCCCAGGATCGACCATATACCTGCTTACAAAGCTTGCTCCATATGCTATGTCTGGCCCTGTACACACTATAACACACATCAAAGAACCTATTATACTAGCATATGTGATGTTATTTATATAGGCTCTTTCGAATTCAGTATTAGGACTTTGAGTCGTACTCAACTTATACTAAGAATTAGTCGATGTTAGAACATGTTTTGAATTCGACATGCCAAACTTACTAAGAATCTTCTTTAGGTATGTCTCTTGAGATAAGCATAATCTCGACAGCTTTCTAATTCTTCGGATGTGAATCCCAAGAATTCTGGAGGCAGCTCCTAAATCCTTCATGTCGAACTCCTTATCGAGCTCAGCCTTTACCTTCATAACATCTTCAACACTATTGCTTGCTATGAGAATGTTATCCACATAAAGCAACAAAATAACAAGTGAATTTCTAGTTTGAAATCTAAAGTAAACACACTGGTCGAACTGGCTCCTAGTGAAACCAATGTGTTCCATGAACTTGTCGAATCTCCTATTACATTGTCTAGGAGATTGTTTCAGGCCATACATAGACCTATTCAACTTGCACACACAATATTCCTTTCCCTTTTCTACATACCCTTCAGGTTACCTCATCAGGATCATTTCATCTAGATCACCATATAGGAAGGTTGTCTTCACATCCATTTGTTCAAGTTCTAGGTCAAACTTTGCCACCATGGCTAACA